CGCCGCGCAGTCCTCGCCCGAGCGTGAAGACGACCCCAGGTTAGCTGCTGTCGGCGCCACTGCCGCCGCCGGTAGGAGAGCAGCAGCAGCAGCAGCAGCAGGGGGCGACAACTAGGTACAGCAAAAGGGGGGGTAGAGGGGGTACAGGGCGCTGTGCCGTCGGGCCTACAGCAGCAGCCTTTGGCGCGGTGCGTATCAGCGCTACAGGTCGCACGTGTCTTCTCAGCAGTAATCATCGGAGGGGGGGGACTTAGTGAGCCGCAACACGGACAGCACGGGGGAGATTTGTTGTACATGCACTGCAGCCAGGGCAGTGCAAACCTAAAAACCCGGAGTATACGGGCCGGGTCGGGTATGCTCGCTTGCATCCCGTATGTATACACACATACACGTCCAATACATACATACATACAGGGGTGCATGGGCCTTGGGCCAGAATTTGACCTGTGGGTTAATCCCACGGCGGCGGTGCAGGAGCTTGTGTAAGGTGTGGCGATGCGGTGGTGGTTGCGGTGTGGCGGGATGGTTTGGCGGGATGTGCGCATGTGGCATATGCTGGTCTGTCTGCGTGGTTAGGTGGGGTGCGGGGATTGTAGCTCACTTGCTCTCGCGTGTGTGTGTGTGTGTGTGTGTGCCGATCTGCTGGCCTTGGCAATTCCGTGCTTGGCATGGGTGGCGGCGCGGGGTTGTAACCCGGGGCTAGCTTCCCCCGGCCCTTCCCCCCGCGGGTGGTGTCGCCGCCACGTGTGGCTTTTTACTTTTCTTTCTTTGCAAAGGAAGGAGTTCGGTTGCAGTTGGTGGTTTAGGTGGTTACAGGGCAACCAGCCATGCTCGTTAGGTTCTGCAGTCCTCTGGCGTGGACCCCTTATGCTCGGGGTCGTGTGCCTGGCGGTGCCTGGTAGTGTGCCTGTGCTTTCCAGAGCCTAGCAGGCCGCCCTGCTGCTCTACTCCCGCAACGGCGGCGATATCATGTCATGCGTGATGTAGGAGCGCGGCATCAGAGAACGCGTGTGGGTGCCAGACACCGTGCTTTCCATGAATAGAGTTTTGTCGCTGTGACGTAAACGCATGTGATATCGGCTTTTTTACCATGCACGGTATGCGTGAGGTCACCTCTGCTCTTGTCCTTGTCCGTGGTGTTTGCTCGCTCCATGCTTCTGTATGTGGCCGCGGCGGTGGTGATGGTGACGGTGGTAGTGCTGGTCTAATATTGCCAGTGACGGAAAGAAAGACAGCTAAGAAGGGTGGGGTTTGCCAGGCGTCCGTGAAGCGTTGTTTCAGTTAGGGACCTTGCATGTGGTGCCGCACGCTCACGTGTGCGATGAAGGATCTCCGTTATCCGTTCCGGCCGCCTTGTTGTTCTAGAGGTGAAGCAGCACCTCAGGGTGGATTAAGCAGCTTGGAGCGGTGGAGCCTATGTTTTACATATCTGCAGTATTACACAGCGGTGGCATGGATGGATTGGTCAACTCCGGCAGAGGAGGAAGAGGAAGAGGAAGAGGAGATGGGGGGGAGCTTCCCCCAAGCCGGGTCCAGATGCTTCCCTGAAGGTATGCCGGGGGTGGACTGGACAGCTCTAGGGGGAAAAGGGCGCGCCTGTACGTTTTGGGGGCTATCCGATTTGGTGTAAGGGGGCAAACTCGAGTCAGCGATGGACTTCCCTCCCCAAGCCAAGACTTCCGTTCGCCTGCCCTTACGGGCTTCAGATAGCTCCCATGGATTGGACGTCGGGCCATTTAAGCTCAAAATAAAGTACGTTTTACGCAGACCAGCCGTGCAGGTGGACCGGTGTTCCGTCATACGTCGGCAGCAACTCCCGTCACTCCCATCGCAATACGGCTGAGGGAACCGACCAGAGCCGACGACAGCGTCGTGGTCGCCTAAATACTTGATGCCAAGAGCGCAATACCCATCCTCTAAAACCACATTCAATGGAACAATGACAATGAAACTGCAAAAAGGGAGGAACAGGGCCTGGCGACTACTGGCGTGCGGCCCTTGATGCTGCCCCACACGGATATGAGAGGCTTTGCTGAAACATGACGACAGAAGGAAAATCGGGCAATACCAATACCAGCCATACGCACTCGTGAGCCAACACCTGCATCTGGGTTCGTTCCTAATAAGGGCCTATCCGCTAGTGGGGCACATCGGTAGGATTAACGTTTGGTCGGGCGCGACGGCCGATGCATAACTCGGCACTATGGCCTCTACAAGCTCTACACATGTCGGTGCAAGCCCAGGGCCAGCCATGTTCCAAAGCTTCTGAATAATACTTTACGTGGATAAAGTCTTAAGATGAGGGCATCGTAAGCCCCAAAACTGGCCAACCGTTAATCGACCAAATAAAGTGCGCCACGATGAACGCGCCTCGCCATGATGTACGACAACTCATCGCCATTTCGGATCTGTGTTGCTATATAAAACGTTTAGTTTATTATGCCACTTTATTGCGCTTCTGTGGTGTACTAGTCGGCTCAAGCTGCTCTAATCAGAGTGTAATAAATTGGCATCCCAGCTTGGATCGGTGCGCATTCTCTTTCAGTTGGTATCGAGTAGGCAATCCTGCCTACACGCTCCTCGCTGGTCGTCTTCGTCTTCTTTTTGGTTACCATGGCCCTTGTCCCTTCGGATTTCCCCAGCCAGCATGACCGCTCCCGTTCGCGGCCCAGTGATGCCGCAGACTACGCCGGCCGCCGCGCTAAGCCCTTCACACCCATGGACCACCCCGCCCCTGTCAACCCCGTGGCCGACACCATCACTTCTCCACGTCGCCGTATCACTCCGCCTCGCCTCCAGCGCTCGCCCCCAGCTTCGCGTACCCGTCCCCAAATCCCCGACACCTTCATCGCCAGTTTTTCGGAAACCATCGCTACCGCCATCCGCGCCGCCATGGCCAACCTCCCGGCCTGTAACGACCGTCCTCCCTCTTCCGTAACAACCCCCACCTACGCTCCCCACCCCAACGCCTCCCAACCCGCTACACCATCGTCGGCGAAGCTCAACCTGCTACACGTAGCCCGCGACTTTCCTACGTTTGATCCCAAGGTGCCGCATGCGGACGTCATAAGCTGGGATGTCCAAATGCGCCACAACTTCGAGATGGCCGGCATCCACCCTGATAGCTCAGGTGCTGCAGCCGTTGCCCTCGCGGTCCTTCGTGGAAGAATCGGAGATCACCTACGACGCCTCCACGCGGACCCTACCACGCGTTTCCCTTCATACCACGCGGTGCTTCGCGCCCTCACCCCCTTTGCCCCGGTCATCATAAACCGCGAACTCGATGCACAGCTCGCCCTGTTCGGCTTGAAGCAGGGTTCAGGACCCCATGGCCTTCGGCGCTACATTGCCGAGTACAAACGTCTAATGGCCGACGTGCCGTACCGTCATGAGATCGACCACGTCCTTTTCTTCGCCCGGGGATTACAGGACAACCTCCGAGCGGAACTCTTTTCACGCTTGGGCTACGGCGTCTCCAACGTCAAGCTCCAAGACATGATAGACTTGGCGCTCACTATTACGGCGGTGCGCTCACTTAGATAACGAGATGCCGCCCATCACCTGGGCCGTGCAGACTACTAACAACCTTGATGACCAGGCGACCACTGCTGGGATGATCTGATGGACACCGCCGCCGCCCTGAACCGTCTACCCCGGGACAAGGAGAAAGCTAAAGGCAAAAGAGAACACACTGCCGCCGCCAACCAAGGCACCTTCTAGGTGGGAGACCGTGTCCGCCTCGCACCTTACCCCATTACACTCCTTCGCCAAACTCCATCCTCGCAACATCAGTCCCTTCACCGTCGCCGTCGTCATTTCCCCGGTTGCTTATCGCCTTCAACTTCCCCCCACCTTCGGTCGAATTCACTCCGTCTTCCACATCGCCTCGCCTGCTTCCGCCTGGACGGTCAACGATCCCGTGCTTTTTCCAAAGCGCCGTCTCACCGCCACAACCACCTGGAGTCCGTCCCCACCACGCTGGAGTCCTCGTTCGACAGCACCGACACTATCGTTACTGCCGTTCGCCGTGTCTACAGCAAGCGTGCACGACCGTCCGTTATGTTCTTGGTACAGTGGTCTGCTAGTAGTGTAGTGGTCATGACGCGTCCTGGGAACCGTACGATGACGTCCGCTGCCTACCAGCGCTTCGTGCCGTCCTGGCGACCCCAGCCTGGACCTCGCGCCCCGGTGAACGACAATCGAGCGCAATTTCGGATCCGTGTTGCATTATAAGAAGATATTGTTGTTTAGTTTGTTTCGTCATCTTTATTGCGCTTCTGTGGGGTGTTCATCGGCCTAAATAGCTCTAATCAGAGCGTAACAAATTGGCATCCCAACTTGGATCGCAAGACATTCCCTAATACTTCTATCTGGAAAGAAGGCTACATCTCTTTGGCTGGTGTACGGTAACACCGCACATAGCTAAGCTTTGACAAAGCTCTCCACGGCATCCACCATTGTAAGCATTTGCCATTGTCAACCTTTTTCGTTGTTGAATTAGAATGGCACCATCATGTAAATGTATATAAAATAGCGATATTGATGTGCCCCAGCAAACTACGATGAAATATGGTCGTTGCCTCTCCGCAACCGTCAACTGATCCAACTCTCCGCTCTGGTAAACCCGAGAAACTTTCGTTGTTCTGCATTTTATCGGCGTAAGTGCCAGTAGGTTAAGGCTCTGGAGCAAATCTTCATCCATCAGCACTGATATTGCCAAAATAATACCCGTACCCGCCTTGCGGGTCTCTCCGCACTGCTGAACCAGAGGGCGAATGACACTGTCGTCATATTTCTATCGTCATAAATATTGTTACCACTTTTGCCCGCGCAGAACAAGCATTATTATCACAACGAGTCACACGACAAGTGGGACGTTCGCCATGGCTACGACAATGTCGTATGCGAACTTTTGAACCGGCTTCTCAACGACCTATGGAAGCACGTTTGTTACGCTTCCATGCAATCATTACCTGTGTTACTCCTAATACGTGCCCAAAATGAAGGTTCAGCCTACTGAAGTAGGAAAGCGAAATCGCGATGAGCACACAGACACGCTGATTAAATCTTTGCTAGACGAAGAGAAGGCAAGCAAGAAACAGAAGAGAGGTTCACCACATGCAGATGTCGGCACAAAGCCAGCTGTCCAGGTCCGAAAGGGCAAAACGTTTGCTGAGATCGAGGCGGAGGAGGGAGGACCCATTAAAGAGTCCCTAGTTGGGATGGCACACACAAAACGCGCGCTCGACCGCAAGAAGAGGGATGTGGAAGTTGGCGACACGGAGTTGGTTACAAACACGGAGCGCTACGAGAAGGACACGCTGGAGGTGGAGCAAGAGGACGGAATCACGTTTGAGCCCTTCAACCTCAAGCAGGAACGCGAGGAAGGCTACTTCGACGAGGATGGCAATTACGTGCTACGGAAGCAGGCTGGCGAGGAGGGCAATGAGGGAGAGGATGCATGGCTGAACTCGGAAGAAGCTAAGGTGGTCAGCGATGCAGTCCGACGGAAAATTGAGGAGCAGCGCGCCCGCGATGAGGCGGCCGCACGAAGAGGGCCCCTTACGGAACGACAGATAGCGCAGGTCCGGCTTGCAGCCTGTGCCACGCCTGTAATAGATACGGGTAGAAGATATAGGCTAGAAGCTCACTGCATGGCACACTGCGCGCGGCAAATCACGAAACCTAGAGGACACGAGCGATACCGGGATTCGGGCTGACGCCGCGAAATGAGGCAGGTTAGTGGTTAGGGGGCAGAAATCGGCAACACGTAGGGGAAGGGGATCGAGGTGGGAATGGCCGGCTCAGTATTGCGCCGCTGCAGAAAAGGAGCGAGACGCTGCAGCCACCCAATGCACCATGGCGCCAGACGGTCAGTCGTTACCTCAAGTCCTTCCCCCTGCGTCCGTCGGGTGTCCTTTGGAGGATGGGCATGCGGAGAAAAATCCCACCAACTCCAGGCCGCATCGTTGGTCCGCCTCCTCGTCATTGGTCATTGGTCATATCTAGTTCTGTTCCTTTGCTTTCTCATCACCTCCCTCTTCACACTCTCTTCACACTCCCTTCACTCTCCCTCAACTCGCTCTTCACGCTCTTATCTCCCTGCACTCTTCTCTCCTGTCCCAGCGCAAGGCGGACATGGCTGCCTTAATGGGCCCTGAAGAAACTGTCACTCGGGCCCTGAAACGCCTTGGCGCCGCCGCCGCCGCCGCCGCCGCTGCTGCTGGCGGCTGCGCCACCGCCGGCGGCGGCAGCGGCCTGCCGCACCGCGCCATGGGCAAGCGCGAACGTGCACGGCTCCTCGCCCAACAGCAGCAACAACAGCAGCAGCGGGGCATGGATACAGTCGCCGCTGGCTCCGTTGACACCGCGGTAAGGGTACGGGGGCACTTCACTCGCCTGACGGAACTGGCCGATGAGTTGCTCGGGGAGGGGGAGCTCGAGATTTATGAAGCAACACAGGAAGAGCTGCTGCGATCCGCGCGAATGTGGCTGCCCAACCTGACACTGGCGGCGGCGGCGGAGCCGCCTCCGATGCCGCCGTCGGGTGCTGCTGCTACTGCCGCCGCCAGCAATCAACGCGGCGCGAGAGACCAAGCCGATGACAGCGACGAGGATATGTTCGCGGATGATAAAGATGAGAATCGCATTGGCGAGAAGGCTGCGGGAGAGGGGCCAGGTAATCTAGCAGCTGCAGCAGTGGCGGCGGTGGATGAGGACCAGGACATGTTTGCGGATGATGATGATGATGATGGTGAGGCCGGTGGCGGCGGTGGGGCTGGACGTGCGGCGACAGGGGCTGCCGCGAGTGGTAGGGGCGCGGGCGGCGGCGGCGGCGGCGGTGGCGGAGGTGATGGCGAAGGCCGCAGCAAGCGATCGGAGCTCCTGGGCGACACTTCGCCGTCCGCTGCAGCAGCAGCAGCAGCAGCAACGCCGTCCATAGGTGACGCCACCACCGCAGCAGCACCACTACCGCCGGCAACGGCGGCGGGAGCAGCAACACCAGGTGGTGGTGGTGGTGGTGGTGGTGGTGGCGGTGGTAACTCCGCCGTTGACTATAGCTCCTGGCCAGTCAAGGAACTCAAGCGTGTGCTGCAGGTGGGTGCAGGAGGAGGCTTAATGGTGCAGTGATGTATGTGTGTGTGGGGGGGTTGGTTGCGGGAAGAGGAAGAGGGCGAATTAATGAACGGATGAGAAGCGCCGAGAAGGAACTGCTGAGGATGGCGCACCAGGGTGGATGGCAGGCGGGTGTATGTATGTATGTATGTATGTATGTATGTATGTATGTATGTATGTATGTATGTATGTATGTATGTATGTATGTGTGTTACATCCTGACGAATATTTGTGTTATTGTGTTACCCAACTGGTAATTAATACTCAACGGTTCACTACTCCGGGTTTGGAGGAGGAAGGCAGTTGAAGAGGAGCTTTCCCGGGCTTAATATAGTTCCTAGTTCCTAGTTCCTAGCATCCTCCTGGCATCCTTCTGGAAACCAACTATTGACGAACCGCATCACGCTGTCCCACCCCCACCCACCCCCCGTCAGTGTCGAAACCTACTAACGTTACATGCTTTCGGTTCCAAATTTTATCGCCTCCGCTGTGGTGTTGTGTCCTGATCAGGAACGCGGAGTGGATTCCAGCGGGTTCGTGGAGAAGGCCGACCTGGTCGCGAAGGTGAAGGAGGTGGTGGACGTGGCGGGTGGCACCACCGGCGGCAGCACCGCGGCTGGGGTTCGTGGCGGCGGTGGGGAGGGGGAGGGGGAGTTCGTGGCGCCGCCGGGGTACGTCTTTGACCCCAGCAGCGGCTACTTCTACTCGGAAGACTCGGGAATGTACTACGACACCAGCAGCGGTGGGTACTGCCAGGCTGTGACGGGGAGGTGGTTCTATCTGGATAAAAGCAGCGGGACGTTTGTGGATTGGAACCTGTGAGGCACGACAGACAGACGGATGGACAGACAGACGGACGGACAGACGGATGGATGGGTGGATGGACAGACAGACAGGCGGATGGATGAGCGGATGGATGGACAGACGAACAGACAGACAGACGGATGGACGGATGGACAGACGAACAGACAGATGGACCACAGGATAACCTTCGGGGTAGCCTTCCAGAGGAAAAGACGGACATACACACACACAGAGAAACGTGCGGACCACGGACGGGATGTCTCCTGGATCAATGAGAGGACATATGGACAGGCCGGGCGGTCGTGATGCCCAGGAGGAGGAGGAGGACGAGGAGGAGGACGAGGGCACATGACGGCGGCATGAGGACAGACGGCCCTGGGGGCCCGCACGGCACGGGAAAAGGGGAAGCGGGAAGAACGGTGGCCGGCAGGGTCCTAGCTGGTTCGCATGCTGCCATGCACGAAGATGTAACGTTCTTTAATTTTAATGGACGTTTGGAGGAAACAACACAGAGAAGAAATATATAATTATTTCGCGGCTTCATGTGTTTATTAGCTTCATCACTACAGCTCCACTCCGGTACGTGTGCCGTACCAGTTGTACGGCAAAGACCATGGCTCCTCTGCCAGCATTTAGGTAGATGAATGTTTTGTACCGAAGATCCGTACGGTGTACGGTTGCTCGTCTGCAGAAAAGTTGGGGCCGTGTACACGCAGAGCTCGCGGACATCCTTCGCGCGCGGGAAGGTGGCTTAAGAGTAACCCGCCTGCCTCTTTGTCTCACTCCTGATCAGATGCACTTTCAAATTAATTAGCACAGGAAGGTGCTTCCTTGGTCATTTTTTTCCTAGACACCACGCCTTTCATGTACTGCAAAAGCCGTTTCGCCGTCGTACATGGCGTTGTACAGAACCCGCCGCGCAACAAAATGAAAGGAATGAAGACCGCCGATTCGTTTAATCGTTCCACACGGCACACGTTTTTGAGGTTGCCGTACACGCTAGGCTGTGTGTCCCGTGAACATCTCCGGCACCCCCCGGCTAACCAACTTCTCACACACGAAGCAAACGTACGGCATTTGGAAACTTCCCGCGGCAACCTTCAAGCTTTTTGACCGCCTTTAACGCCGGTCGCCACACTCTTCCACGGTAATGACATTCTAAGGGCGTTATTCCACAGTGGCCGCGGGGTGCGAAGGGGGTTCTTGGGTGGGAGGGAGTGTGTGCACCACCACACCGCGCTCTCCCTTCGGCGATGATGAGCGGCGAGCCAGTGTGGGAGGGTTACGGGGCCCTTAACGGGGGATAAGTTGCCGACACCGCATCTATGCGGGCAGCGTGATACTGGCGAGCCAATGATAACACCCTTTTCACCCTATTCTGGTGCATTAGACATTTTACCGGAAAACCTTTTGGCAAGACGCGCAGCACGAGCTGGCCTAGCATTCCGGAGCATTCTGGAAGTTTTGGTTGCTAGAAAACGACGAATCCGGCAGCATTTCGAAGGTGTTGCGAACGATGGGAGATTGAAACGGGCTCCGCAGAGCACGGCGGGGCGGGACGTGTAGCACTGGGCACGGACCTGGTACCGGGAATAGCCAGATAGCCAGACGTCTGACCAAGGGGGTATGCGGTGTAAGAAGGCACATTAAGGGGGGGCCGGTAATTGTAAGCAAGCAGGTTCAGGTCATCTGTGTGCAGCCCGCATCCATGCTTTGTGGGACAACATAGGCGAGCGAGCTTCTGCACATCCACTCGCCCCCCAATCAGACCTGGTATGGGCTTTCTAGGCATCGAGCACATGAAGGGACGCTATAAAGTGGGAACCTGAACGTCTGGCAAGGATGCTGGAACAAATATGGTCCCACCGCAATCCTATATCGTTCCCTTTGGTCGTAGTATCCTTTATGACTTGCTTTGTCTGAAGTGCGAGGTAGGCTGGTGTGCTTATAGGCGGTCCGGCAGCCCTTGAGCCCTCGGCTCGTATTGGGCGGTTTGCAGGTACGGGGAACGCACCCCACGACCATGTAACACACACACATACACACACATACACACACATACACACACATACACACACATACACACATACACACACATACACACACATACACACACATACACACACATACACACACATACACACAAACACACACATACGCACACATACATACATATACACACATACATACACACCAGGGGTTGTCAGTCACTCTGTTCACGAGTGCGTGTTTGTGCGCGCCTCCTACCATAGACTCTTGCAAAAACTCTTGTAAACTCAGCACTTAGCACATCCACCCAGCCTAACTGGAATTCAGCCCCTGGCTTCCCAAACGATCAACGGCCTCTGAAATGCGCGTTGGAGACTGAAGAGGGTGCGTCACCTTCAGCACAATGTTGTGTATAGTTTTGCCAATGCTTAACGTCGAAACGTACTCCACCTCCTTGCCATCCGCCGGGATTTCCTGTCCCTGTGCGGGCATCCACCACTGCAACGGCACTGGACAGTAATCACTGAGCAGTTCTCTTTACCTTATTTTACCTGTTTTGTTGATGCCACGGGAATATTTAAAACCCCCAGACGAGTCGCTCTTTGGTGTAACGCGAAGGCGAGGATATATAGAGATTCATCAATCATGCTTTTCCCCGCATTGCCCTTGTGCCCAAAAGTGGGCTCCCCTTCCAGGGTTCCTGTGAACACGCATGTTTAGAATTTTACTACTCCTGATTTTCTGCAGCAATCTCGCAGCGCCACCAGGCCAAACCCCCTGCTCGCAGTGCCTTTTCTATGTATGTAACTGGAATGTTGCGGATCAAATCTGAATTACCCATCATGCACTTGGCAAGTCTTTCAAGTTCGGCGTCAGCATCCTGGTCCGGAACTTCACGTAGCCCGGAAACGCTAGAAATAGAGTCCCCAAAAACGAGAAGTTCATTGTTAGGCGATGGGTAACCTTGGACGAGCGACTTCAAGCGCCCAATCACCTTCCTCGTAGGGCCCGTTCCTCATCGGCGTCCCGGGGTTAGCTAGACCTGTGAGCGTGCTGGTGCGGCGTAGCAGGCACCTATAACCATATTGCGCCCGTTAAGCTTGAGAGATCGACCACTGATCCGTAACCAAACACTGTCCATGCCCTTCACTTGCGCGCATAGGCTAGATAGCGCGACATCCCGGTACGGCGTAACGGACAAAACGGATTTTGCAGGAAAACCAGCTACAGGCTTACAGCTCAAGGTACGAGGTTGCCTAAGTCCACCATGGATACTCAGCGACTCTTTTGCATCTCAACTCCTCAAGCTGCGATGAAGGGAAACTTCTGATACAGCGTCTTGAAAACACCTGGATCAATGCGCAATTATATGTTGTCTCAAATCCTATCGTCTTGCAAATTACATAGCGTGGAAGCAAGTCGTTGGTCCGAGAGTGCCTCTTACGGATTTGCAATGATGCTATGGTGAAGCAAACAAGAGGCTACCGGGTCTGGGACTCGGCCAGCGAAGGTGCCTTGAAAGCAGGCGTACGTAAGCATGGACTTGGAGCATGGGAACACATTCGAAAGGACCCAGAGTTCGCGATTCTCAGGTGCGACCTAGGGTTTGCCGCCGCCTTGTAAAGGCACAAATGTTAATTATTTAGTATGCCACAACGAATATATCATGTTCATCTATTTTTCTAGATAAAATGTGCCCTTCTGATGGATGACTCGGCAGTGGAGTGCTCCTTGCTGATTCACCTTTGACTTGGCCTCGACCCTACTGGTTCCCGTTTCTCAGTGATCGGACTGGAGTGCAACTAAAGGACAAATGGCGTAACCTAGTCAAATTCAGGTGTGTTAACACGTTGGGAACTTGCGGTCGCTGCTGAGCAAAGGACCACGTGATGGAGAAGTTCCTGTCCCGACCATCATCCGTTCTGAATCCTGGAGCCAGACTGTTCACAATTGGCTTTTGCATATATAGGCATATTGATCCGGACGAACAGCGCACATATAAGCCTAAGACCCAGGGGCCCTGGTCGAAGAAGTACAAGCGTGAAAGGTGCGCATCTTATCGCAACGCACGGCGCCGCAGACTTCCCCAGCAACACATCGTGTACAATTCCATGGCTATGGGGATGCTGCCGGCGGCGCTTGCGCCAGAAAACTGACGGGACGCTGCTTTCCCACACAGAAGTCAAGGCTTAACCGGGACAGTGTCCCCTGTGAGCGGTGATGGCGGTGGCGGCGTGTCGGAGGACGAAGGGACGCAGCATGTGGCCGATCCGCAGGCACTGGTGTGTGGGAAAGATGGGCCGCGACTAGCTGGGATGGGTTGCGGTGGGGGCCATGCTGAGGTCGTATGTGATGGGCTGCGGTTTTTCCGAAGGACGACGCGTGCATGCACGTCGGGTAAGATTTTCAACTCTGTCCTATCGTGTTATTAGGTTGGCCAGGCCGACCTAATTCTCTCTGCTTTACACCGCAATCGAAACCAAGCCACTGGTGCGACTGAGAGCAGCTCCTTCCTAGCCAGTTGCAGTTGGGGGTAATTGCAACGCAACCGGCACTCTTGCATGGTAATAGCAGCAGCAGCAGCAGCACAATTGACGATTGGAAGTTAGCACTTCGCAAAGTGGCAGTGCTTCAGAAGGTGCATGTGAAACAAGGTATGGGATTTGTTGGGCTCTGGCGGCTACCAGGGGCATCGTGCAGCGAGCAGGCGGCAACTTTTTACATGGGCCCTGCTGACGTGATGGCGAGGAGATCAGCTGTAGCAGCAGCAGCAGCAGCAGCAGAGTCAGTAGTGGCGGGGTCAGGCGTTGCAGCTGCATCATCATCATCATCAGCAGCAGCATCAGCAGCAGTAACAAGAACTCCCAACAACACCAGCACATCAGTAGTGCCAGCACAGCGCTACCAGCGGAGGTGCGGATGCAGCAGCAGGAACAGCGGGAGCAGCAGCCGTCAGCCGACGTGGATTGACAGGAGGTTTTTTTTTACCATGTCACATGTCCAAAGGCAGAGCCGTAACAGCAGTGATGAAAACTGCGGCGCAAATGGCGTCATTGGGAAGGAGTTTTCTTGGCCCCGTCCTTGCATGCATATGGCTTGTATCCGCCAGGGGAAGCCACCGCTGGGTCAGCAGTTTTACATATTGCTGCCGTCGGCCGCAGCTGCTGCTATTGATACTGATACTTTGAAACTCTTATTTTTGCTATTGGAGCAACATATTAGCATAGAACACATCGCGCAGTGCGGCGTTGCTTCCTCCGTCACCCTAAACAACAGATTTGGGTAAGGAGGTGGGCAAAGCGTTTGCGGAGCCAACGGGAGTTATTTCTTGCGCAACGTCCTGGGTAACCTCTTGGGGAAAACCCAAATGTCCCCAATACGCCAGAAGCCTTAAGCCCACCTTTAAAAAGGAAGGGGGGTGGTATGGCTGCTTTCTATGCGCTGACTGACTGTTGGGTGAGCCAGCCGGACCGGCAGATCTGCAGCGCCCACTCACGTCCCAGCGCCGGCAGAAGCAGGGACGGAAGCAGTAGCACCGACACTGTAGCGGCGACACCGGAACCCAAGCTCCACAGGCATTCCTCGGGGCTTGGCAAACCCCCCCGGAGCGCGTGCCCGCTGCCCACGTGCCGGCCCTTCAGTGTGTGGCTACGTACAAACGTATGTATGTACGAATGTATGTATATTACGTACGCACACACGTATGTATGCATCGATGTAAGGCTGCCAAGCTGGGGAAATGACTGGTAAGGCATTGTGTGTTGGTCCCGAACCTTCCAGCCGGCCGCTAAGGACTACAGATGCTAGATGGGCCCTGCGGGGCGTCATTAGTCCGCTCGCCGTGGAGGAGTCCAGCAGCGGCAGTGAGGAAGGGAGCAAACATGATTGGTGGCCGCATCTGCCGCAGCCACGGCAGCAGCAACAGCGCCATTGCCGCAGGATGCGCCACAGTATTAGCCGCAGCAGCACCAGTAGTAGCTGCAACAGCAGCAGCAGTAGCAGCAGCAGCAGCGTTCTGGGTTTGTGCAGCTTCTCTCAGTCCATGCTTGCTGCTTTCTGCATGGGCCCTTTCCTCTGGCCCATCGCGCCCGTCTTGTCCAGGTCTATCTGTGTCTATCTTACTGCGTTTCTATCCTACTCGGAGATCACTAAAAGCCGCCTCCTCCACCGCCGCCGCCGCCTCCTATATCTTGAACCTGTCCACTGGGTCTCATGGCTTTGGGGACTTTGCCTGGAAATGGTGCAGAAGTACACTTACTACTACTAACAACAACAACACTTGCTATATATACCAATTGTAGGCTTTTGTTTTGTTGTCTCATCTCTACGCATATTCCATGGATACAGTAGAGCACATCGATTCATGCAGCTTTTCCTTTAGCCTTGGTCTCCATGCCGTGGTCTCTGGCTTCCCTTCCCCCGCCCACTCCGCTACCTTTTCCCTCCCAACCGCTCGCGGCAGCGCCAGTCGGGCCGCTCCAACGCGCAGAAGCGCAAGGCCATCTCAGACCTGGCGCTAATGCTGGAGGGGGACGGCGCGGACTTCTACACGGGCAGCGAGGAGGACGACCCCGCGGGCGCTGCGGCTGGGTGGAGCGGCAGCGGGGCTGGAGCAGTCAGCACGGGTGCTGGGGCCGCTGATGGTGGTGGCGGCGCTGGTGGCGTGGTGGACGGCGAGGGCGGCTTGAAGCGCGGGAGGCCCCGGTCAGCGGCCCGCAGCTCGGTTGGGCGAGGCAGCGCGTCTCGCCATCGCAAGGCCATGGAGGACCGGCGTTTTGGTGAGAGAGAGAGAGGCTCTGTGAGGATGAGAAGGGGAGGGGAAGAACAAATCTCATGAACACTACAGTCTAAAGGGAAGGAGGACATGCGGCTGGAGTTTAGGTGTGGGGGAGAAAGCGCCGCATGCTCCATCCCCCGGGGAAAGTTTCTGATGTACGCCACGTCTTTTAGCACAATATGGAGGAGGCTACCAGGAAGCTGGAGAGTGAACATGATAATAGTGGATATGTCATGTGGTGAATGTAATTCCCCACAAAAAATGGGAGGGGGGGAGGATAAGAATCTGTGTGCATGTCGGCGAGAGCATGTGCAATCGCCGGGGCCTCGCTGCGCTCGAAAGGAACTGGAAACGGGGGCAAACGGGGGGGCCATATTTACTGTTCGACGTACGTTATGATATGTACGCCGCTGCCCCTGTGTGTTCCGTTCCGAAGCACGTCTAACCGAGAAAGGGCAAAGGAACTCCTTTGTGTGCCTCTTTTCCTCGTTTTTCAACGCATAACTCGACGCATAACGGCTGGATCTAATTTTGTTATTCCATCCCTAGCTGTGAAATCTAGGGATGCAGATGGTGCATGCGTGCGTGGCATAACGTGCGAATATTAGAAGCAAATGACCCCTGTTGGAGTGTTCTTGCTGCGTTTGGCAATGGGTCCTCAGCGTCAGCACTACGAATTGAATTACAGCGCTGTGTGCGTGTATGCATGATTGCGTGGCGGTCGGGCTTCTTGCTGTTTCCAGGTATTTATGACAGGCGGAGGTACGGATTTGCGGAAGACGGCACAGCGCTTCGGGGCCGTTCTTACGACGGCGAGGGCAGCGGCAACGCCAGCGAGTCGGATGGCGAGGGGGCTGTTGGTGCTGGCGCCGGCGCCGGCGCCGCCCCTGGAACGGCGCTGCCGCCTAAGGGCCGCCGCCGCGGCGGGGCCCGCCGTGGTAGGGATGGCTCTGACGACGAAGATGAGGAAGACGATGACGTGGGCGACCCGGACAGCGACTCGGACGGTGAAGCCGCAATGGACGAAGCTGGCGGCGCCGCCACCGTCGCTGCCACCGGCGGCGGCGGCGGCAGCGGCCGCAGCCGCGGCCGGGGCGGCGGCAGCGGCGCCATCGAGGAAGACGTCATCAGCTGTCCCTGCGGCGTGACGTACGATGACGGCGAATTGATGATTGAGTGTGAGTCTTGTGCCGCGTGGGCGCACATCGACTGCCTGCGCCAGCAGGTGGCGACCGCCCCGGACCGCTACCAGTACAATTTTGACACCTACCACTGCAGCGGCTGCCAGGCGGCCCTGCGCTCCCTCCAACATGGATCAAGGCAGCCTCATGGCTACGGCAGCCGCCAGGGCGGTTATAGCGCCGCCGCCGGGGCGGGCACCGGCGGCTTGGAAGCCGGTGGCTCAGTGGGCGCGGGCCTGGGGTCGGCGGCGGCGACGGCGGCAGCGGCAGCGGGCCGGTCGCGGCGGCCGCCGATGGCACAGGGGATGGTCGCGCCGTCCGCAGTCCGTAACGGTGTGCACAGAGGTCCGCCAGCAGCGCCGGAACAGGAGAGACAGCGAGACGGCGAAGGCGAAGGCGACACTGCTAGCGAAGATAGCCAGCGGAAGGCATCAGAGCTCAGTAACATCTTGTTGGGCCTTGCAAATGGGCGGATTGTGACCGGCAGCAGTAGCGGCGCCGCTGGCGCGCGCCGCGGCGGGGGCGGCGCTGCTGCTGCTGCCGGAGCGGGTGGTAGCTTCTCGAAGCTCGGACCTTTCGGTCGGGCATCAGCGCAGCCGATGCCTGGGTCAGCGTCAGCACATCGGGGGGGCAGCGCTGGCGGCGCAGCCGACGCGAACGGCTTCGGCGGCGGAGCCGGTGGCAGCCCGATTGCTCGCACGGGCTCTGTGGGGCATACGAGTAGCAGCGGCTTGGGCGGCGCAGCGGCGGCAGCAGCGACGGCTGGCGGGGACCAGACGGCCTCGTTCGCACGGGATGTTAGCGGCAGTGGCCGGTTGGTGAAACCCGGGCCGCAAGGCGCAGCACCAGACGGCCTACGGAAGGTTACCCCCATCGCCGTTGGCGGCGGCGGCGGCGTCGCCGCCACTGCTGCCGGATCTACTGGGGCCGGGCCCGCCAACAGCAGCGGCAGCAGGGGCGGCCTGGACGGTAAGTGTTTGCCGCGCGCATGTGTGCACGAGAGCGGTTTTAGCATGCAAGGGTATGTGTGTGTGTGTGTGGAGGGGGGATAAAGGGGTGTTACGCCGAGCGTATGGTGGGATTCCCAACGCGTCCGAGACGCTCAGTCGCCGCGTGCTAGGTGAGCTGTAGTAGAGCCACTGAATTATTTGTTTATTATTTATTTTATTTTATTTATCCTCCTCCGCCGAAGATGCAGACATGCGCAAAACGTGGGCCAAGATTCGCACCCCGCATCCCCTTGCGGGACGCTGCGTGTGTGTACGGCTGTCGCGGTGTGTATTGTATTGTATTGTATTGTATTGTTGTTCCCGCAGGTGCCGGCTCGCCTCCGCCGCTACTAGACGGCGGACTGCCGCTATTCCAGGGCTCCGCCCCCGGCGCCGGTGCCGGTGGCGGCATCATCATAGGCGGTGGCGGCTGCCTCGGGGTCTCGGCTTCCGGGCCCAAGATATTCAAGCCCGTGCCGAAGCACGCGACTATGGGCGGCCTGTCCGGAGGGCAGCTGCAGCCACAACAGCCACAGCAAGCACCACAACACCACCTCCTGTCTGCGCCCAAGGTACCTCCTGTGTCTGTACCGCAACCCTTGAAAAAGAAACGGCAAAGGTCCATTAAGGGGTCCGTTTTTTTCTCTGGGTGGGCACGGCGCTATCCGTCCGTCCGCCAAGTCTGTGGGAGTCGAGGGCCAGGTGCAGCCCGCAGGTGTTTTGCTGGTTCCGTCCCCTCTTCCGTGCCTGGTACGGAACCGGATCCAGATCCAGATCCGGATCAGTTGGTCCATGGCTAAGGATTATGGCGGATGGACCAACCCAGTAGCGTCAGTAACGAATAAACCAATAGATAGTAGCGCAGCGCCGAGACTTAGTTACCAACAGTGATTCGGATTTTGGCAACTGTCCATCTGCTTGGGACAGAGCTTGGCAGGCCGGCTGGCTGGCTGGCTGGCTGGCTGGCTGCGATCTACGGTCTGCCCCCATAGGCTGACTGCTTGGGCACTGGCGGGATATTTTCCTAAGCTTTCTAACGCGCACACTGAGTGACTCTCACCAGTCAGGGCCTTTCCTGGGGTCTGATATGCTTTGCATGTATGTAAGTATATGTGTTTGTATGTCATTTCTACGATTTATCATACCATACAGCACCAGTGTTTGTATGTGTATTGCCTACCTAACTTTAATAACCATTGTTTCTTAACTTTGTCCCATAATATGCCCTATTTCCCTCACGTCGCAAAAGGCGAGGCCGCACCCCGCACTTCAGCGTGGTGCAAGCCAGCACAGCCTTCAGAGGATGCTGGAGGCTGTTAATCCTTCTGCGGCTGCCGCAGCTGCTGGAGGGTGTGGCGGAGCCGTTAGCGGCGGCTCCGCCGCCGCCGCTAGTGCCCGGGGGCTTCCACTGACCTCTGTGCTGGAAGCAGCCGGTTCATTGCAGGTCGCGGCGGCGAACCTGTGCGCGGCATCCGGCCGGAAGGCAGCGGCGGCGGCGTCCGCCAGCACCGGCGGCGCCGCCGCGGCTTCCGACGGTGTCGGCAGCTGTGACGCCGCAGCTGGCGGCGGCGGCGGCGCTCTGCCGCCGCGGCCACCATCTAGGCCGCCGTCTTCCATGGCTCGCGAAGTGGCGAATCGTATTTTTGGCGAGTCTGATGATGACGACGCCGGCGGCGTCCTACGTCCTCTGTCGGCGCTCCGTGGCGGTGACCCATGGTTCCTAATGCCGGCGAGTCTCAGCCGCGCCGCCACGCCGTCCGCCTTTATCGACAGCATCCTCCGCGCCACTCCGGACATTGTACCCTTGCCAGGCACCTCGCCGCCGCCATACCTGGCGGCAGCGCTGGCTGCCGCGGCGTCGCCTCGCTGCACTGACCTTAATGCGCTTTTGGTGCAACAGCAACAACAACATGCCGCCCTTCTACAATTGATGAGCCAGTCCGCCGCTACGGCACCGTCGCCGGCGTCTGCCGGGCTGCCGCCGCCTGCAGCGGCTGCTTCCGCATCGGCCATCCTGCCGCCGCCACCGCTCGCTCGGCTGCCGCCGCCTCTTGCAGGGGCAGGGCTGCTGCCGCCGTTCGTACCCAGCCCACTGACCATTGGCGGCTTGCCATCGGCCTGGCCGGCCAGCACGCCGCCCCCGCCGCCCTTACCGCCGCCGCCGCCGGTGTCCTTGCACCCGCCGAGCAACAACGGCGAACCTGTCGCCCTTCATCCTGTCCTCCGGAACTTGCTTATTACAACGGCACAGCAACAACAACAACAACAACAGCAGCAGCAGCAACAGCAACCTCAACCTGGGGATGGGGTCCCACAGCAGCAGCCGCATCAGATTGGGCCAGGCTCGGGATCGGCTGGGACGGCGAACGGCGGAGGCGGTGCAACGGTGAAGGAGGAGGAGGGCGCAATGGGGCCACCGCAGCAGCAGCAGCAGCACAGCACGCAGGCTTCTTCAGGTCAGAAAGCAGCTGCCGCTGCCGCTGGGTTGTCCAGCGGCGGAGGGCCTGCCGCGTGCCTTGTCGTATCACCTCTTGGACGACCATCCACGACGCCGCCACTGCCCAGTGCCGGCTCGAGCGGCGGCACGGCGGCGGCAGCAGCGGCGGCGGCTGGGCCTTTGCGGGACGTGGCTATGGCCGCTGCCGCCGCCGCGGCTGCGGCTGCGGCGGCGGGCGGCAGCAACGGCAGCGTGCCGCCGCCGCCGGGCCTGGATAGCAGCGGTTCATCTGTGGCTGCGTTATTTGGCCTGGGAGTAGGAGGACTTAATCTTAGTGTATTGGATCATTTACGAAGGTAAGGAATAGTAACCAGTATCGGTTAGATAGAGGTCACTGGTAAGATGAAGACATCACGTATTAAGGAACAGCACGAAAAAACAGGATAAGGTCTGTATGTATATCGAGAAGCACTGATAGTGTGACACGTCATGAGGACTTCGCGGTGATGTGCTGGCCTTGTCGGAACTAAAGAAACCTTGCTCCCCAACCCCCCAACCAACCGACCAACCGACCAACCAATGTCAAAACCCAACTACCACCTAACGTTCAATTATCGCCAATTATCGACGTGATGTCCTTCCCTCGTTGTTGCTTCTCCGCTCTGTCCATTTTGCATCCACTAAACCCCTGTCTGTGCCAACCAAAATCTTCAAATCCCCAGTTCGAGTCCTGATCCATACGTTTTCTTCCGTACTTCCACTCCGGGACCTGAGGCCATCTTACAGAGTTTCTTTCCGCCGCCCCCTGGCGACCTGCCCTGGCTCAAGAGCACCACACCGCCCCTTACCGGAGCGTGTAAGTCTGGGATTTACGTGGGGGGGAGGCAGGAATGGGGGCCATTGGATTGAGGAGGAAGCCGCGAGGTACTTGGTAACACAGGGGGGGGGGAGGGGACGAGGGGAGAAGACCCTGGAAAGTTCGTGATTCGGTGCATGAGGTTGGACAGATGAGGACTAAGAGAATAATGTGTATATGTGCGTCTGTCTGTCTGTCTGTCTGTCTGCCTGTGTCTGCTTTAAATGATCTGAGCCGCGATGAGGAAAATGGCCTTTGGTGGTACACGAATAACCTTATACCGAGAAGAGAGTTCCGAATAGTCACCAGCGACGTGTTAGAGTTTTCCCATGAAACTTTAAAAGTAGCTTGGATTTCCAAACTGAATGATGCCAGTTGCCCGTAGAAATAAGCGGGGTGCTGTAGTAGTGGCGAAGGGCGGCTTTGGTGGTCGGCGGCTAGCTAGAACTGACTACAGACAACGAGGGCAATCTAAGGTCCCAACTAGGTAAAATTTCAAAACCTCTATTTCTTTCCTATATCCTGAGCTAGCGGACAGAGCGGAGGGTCATGCTGCTGCCACAGCGACGGCAAGCAGGCTACTATCGTATCTGGTGGCACAGTGAACCCCCCGTCCCGTGAAAGCCGAAGGTTGACTGACCTGTGAACAAAAGAAAAAACAAGACGTCTTGCAGCCACCTTACAACAACTGACCTCCTCTACCTCTCGCTTCCTAGGCTGGTCCAGGGGAGAAGTAGCCGTACAAAGAAAATGTATGTATGTATGTGTGTATGTATGTATGTATGTATGTATGTATGTATGTATGTATGTATGTATGTATGTATGTATGTATGTATGTATGTATGTATGTATGTGTGTATGTGTGTGTGTGTGTGTTTCAGGCAATGACGATGTTAGATGATAATTGGGTTAGAAGGTAGTCCATTACTCCAGATTCAAAGACGAGGCCAACACATGGTGTGTCGGCCCCTCCTCGCCTAGCCTCACCTCACCTCACCTAGCCTCGCGTTGCGTTGCGTCTGAAACCCTTATCCCCCCCCCCATGTCTGTGCTTCATCCACCTCCCCTTTTCAGCAAAAATCAGGCCTGAAAGTGCTCCCCGCGTTGTTGCCGCCCTCTCTTGTTGCCGACCCATTCGCCGCTGCAGGCAATCTCATTCTCATTCTCGTGTAGTGTTCGCTCGCTCGCTCACTCGCTCTTTTAACCCCCCGCCCCGCGGAATTGAATCGCAAAAGAACATCATCCCCTCTTTCCCCCCCCCCACCTTTCCCTTGCCGCCCATGCCTTCCCATACCCTCACTACTGACTCCGCCCGGGGTCCTTCTTCCTCCGGAACCACCGCCACACGCCACCAACGCCGCCGCCAACACGTACACGCCAACAATGCCACCTACGCCATGCCGTTGATGCTGTTGCCATCGACACTGCCACACAAACCGCTGCCAACACCGCCATCTCTGCCACTGCCCTGAAACACCGGTTCAACGGCAACTCCTCCGGCCGCTGCGCTGGCCGGCCCCATCATCCCCGCCTCCCGCCAATCGTCCCAGTAGCGGAGGTGCTGGGGCAGCCGCCCTCCGCGGGACCTGACTCACTCAACATGGACCGGTAGCCGCCATCCCCCCACCTCTCCTCCCCCTTTCCCCCTCCCCCTCCCCCCTCCCCGAGGTCGCCGCCTTTAAGGACGCCTTTCGGTCAGTTCTACGTCTGGTACACTCTTGCCCTGGCAGCAGCTTCATTCATTCACGTGGTTCGTCTTTCCCTCCCTCCCCCGTCACCTCTCCCTCCCCCCGACACACACACAACCTCATTACACCCCAACTCATCTCACCATCATTGGAGAGTCTGCTCGAGTCTGCCGGCACGCCGGCGCGTGGACATGGGTCCCGTGCTATTTCTTTCTTCGCCCTACGCCCATTCTGGCTCTTCCCACACGGCAAAGGCGAACCCTGGGCCGCCTCTACCGGATGGCCGCCACGTGCTGCACCGCGCACCCACGGTTTTTTCAGCCTCAGAAGTGGGACACGTCGGCATCTATCTATCTAACCCTCCGGCCTCTTTATCTGTATCAGTGTGTGGCGGGAGGGAGTAGGGAGGGATGGGAGCAGGGGCTTTGCACGTACGGCAGGGAGCAAACTTGCGGGGATTGCATAACCATACCGACGGGCATGGACCCAGGGAGAGGGGTCTCACCCGCGACGTTTGCAGATGCGTGGTGGCGGTGTGCGAACGCGCGTGTGTGTGTGTTTGTGTGTGTTCGGTGCAGAGCATGATGCCCACGGAAACATGCATGGCGAGCATTAGCATTAAGTAGCATCACCCCCCACCACCACCACCACCACCACCCCCACCACCGCCACCGCCACCACAGACCATGACAGTGACACACACGTGGCATCGTATCCGGCTTAATCCCCTCCCGTGCGCCTCTACTGAGGACAGGTGATTACGGGTGGGCGGGAACTGCTCTCGAACATCGAAGGGAATCCAAGAACAGCCAGGACATCCTCGTGTTGGGGGAAATCCCGGGGAAAAACCCTAACCCGGAGGACCGTACTGCACCGTACCGCACCGCTCCGAAACCCGTTCACAGAGGGTGCCCGGGAGCAGCAGCAGCCCCAGGGCCGGGAAAAACCCAAACGACAGAAGCTCTTCCCGTACAGCATAGACTGGTAGCGGAACCACGGAAGAATGAGGTGGGACGGTGGAGCGCGGGTTTGCGACCCCGGGGTTTTGTTTCCCCTTGCTTTGCTCGACAAGAAGAGGTTGAGGTGAAGGGGTTTAGGGAAGAGCCCTTGGGAGAAGCTGAAGAACGCTCTCTCTCTCTCTCTCTCTCTTATCCGTGCGCGCGCGCACTCGTGCTGGGGTGTTGGTGTGGACCGATGTGGATGGTGGACTGTCGGCCGTGCAGGCGTGCAGGCGGGCGGATGGATGGATGGGTGGACGGATAACCACGGGAAAGGTTTTCAGCCGGGGAGGGGGTTGGGGCTGCGGACGGGCGGAGCGAGCGGCGGGTATGGTAATACGGGCCGGACGGAGGGGGGGATTGGAGTCCATGACCGGTGTGCATGGCCTTATAAATGGGCTGCTATGGGTCATTTCTGACTGTCAATGTTATTATTCTGTCTGTTGAGAGCCGTTGGACTTTGCGGTAATGGCAGCAGGATTGAGTAACGTTGCGGGGTGGGCTGCATGGGTGTGTGTGGGTGAAGTTGACTGGACTGCGGCTTTTGGACAACTTTCGCTTTTTGTGGAAAGGGCTTTGTGTGGAGCGAAGTTCGTGGGATGAGATTGCCGAGAGGAGAAGGAGGAGGCGGAGGCGGAGGAGCGCGGCTAGGATGTTTTGGCATGGTGGGGATGAGAGTGGGTGCAGTGGAGAGATACGGCGGCGGTTGGTTGTGTGGTGGTTGGTTGTGTGGTGGATGTGGTGGATGTGGTGGTTGGTTGTGTGGTGGTTGGGCGATGCAATTCGCTGGAGTGGGGGCCCACCCAAGTGGGGTGAGAGATGTGAATGTGCGGCTTAGTGATGTGAGAGATGCAGGAGGGGCCTAGTGCGTGGTGGTGCGGGCAGTGGTTCAGGTCATATGATGGTGATGATCAGGGTGGTGATGATGAGCGAACATTCTTCATGGTATCGCACCTGTGGCATCGGTGAACCTCCCGTTCTACCCTCTTTACCATTTTTTACCTTCTTTACCAACCGCCTAACCAACCTCCGAGGCACCGCGTTGCGTACCGTGCTTATCAAGGGCTGTGCGCTTGGGGCGTAGGGCAGCGTGTAGTGTAGCGCTGTGTAGTATTGTGTAGCGTAGTGTAGTGTAGTGGAATGGAATGGAATGGATCAGATGAAGTAAGGGGGCCGCCGTGAAGAAGGGTCGTAGGTTCGTGTGTGCATTTGCTGGTGCGCAATATGGCCTCACCTCGTCTCACCATTTGCCCTCGCCTTGCAACGCCTGGCAACGTTCCCTGGTGGTTTGCCTGGCTTTGGCTTTTTATGCCGATCCTGGGGACCAAATGAAAGCGGCAACGTGACTTCATTTGCGTGTGGATGCGCGGGTGTGTGTCGGTTTGCGGGTTTAGAGGATTTCCTTTCATACTGGAATCGCTGTGGGGCCCCGCAAGAAGATCCAGGTCTCGCAGAGGCGCGTGTGCCATATGCGGTGTGCACCCGCCGCCGGCAAGATGCGCGTGCACACCCGGCTGTTCCTGTTTCTGCTCCTGTTCCGCATCATTCGGAGGATGATGGTGGAGGAATGGGCATAAACTATACACGAAGCTATTTCCGTCATGTCGCAAAAGCTGCAGGTCGTGTTGGTGGCGTGCCATGTTTTCTGCTTTCTCGTGCCGTGGCACACAGTACATTGCGATGCTCTCTACCTTGCGCACGTACCTGCTGCGTTGCGTCGTACATTACCGTACAGTATCGCCGAGGCGACATAGATCTCACTGGCTTTCAGTGTCGAAGGGTGTGCGAGACGAGGACCCCTCTAAACGAGTTCCGCCAGGGTTGTGGTTTGGCTTTCCTTTGCGTCCTTTGCCGCGTCCTTCTTTCGACTTGACTTGGCTTGAGGCATGGTTTCACGACAACACATGCATGCGCACATACATGCACACATATTAATGCATGCGAATATCTCAATTATTAAGTGCAAACTTGGCGAGGGAAGGAGGGACAGAGAGAAGAGGAGAGGAGCGAAATGGGAAGACATGCGCGGCGTGCGGGAGGGGGGAGGGGCCTTGGAAAAAAATATCTCTCTAGCTCTCTAGCGGCACTGCACTCCACCCTCCAAGCACCCTCCTTCCAAGGTTGCTCTCCGGGCTGGGTGTGGTAATGGTTACTCCATAACGCCTACACGGCTTTAGGCCTTTGCTGGCTGTTTGGCAGGGTTTGGAGACTCTCCTGTCTCCCCCGTAGTGCCCGTAGCCGCTATCCGAATCCGGACAGGGGGGTATACAGAACCCTGGGGCGTGTGTGTGTGTGTGTGTTGAGTGAGGGGAAAATGGAGGAGAGTTTGAGGTCCACTTCCTCGACCTCCACGATCGACCTCTTGGATCCGTGGACTTTGATGACCCCCTTCCTGTTTGGCTTCATGGCTGTCTGCCTGGCTGCCGTATTTCCAGCTCTGATGGCTACGTATATATGTATGTAATTCTGTAATGCCTGGAGGTGAAGATGAGGAGGAAGGAGGAGGAGGAGCGACTTTCGTTTATGCCGCTGCCGCTGCCCCCGTACACCCCCATATGTCCGTTTATGTGTCTACCTGTCTGTCCGCCTGAACTTATGTACGAATGAAATAACGAACAAACGAACTAATCCTGTCGCGAGAGAAGAGCACGTGTATCACGAGGGCAGAGCACAGACCGGGTAAGGGAGAACTGCATGAACATCGTGGTGGGGTCATATGTCGTAGTGTCAGTGGCTGTGGCGGTGCTACTGCTCCTACGGCTGCTGCTGCTGCTTTCGCTGTTAACGTGCGGGATTTAAATTGGAACGGGAATGTCGATGTGAGCTGGGAAAGGGGTCTCGTCGGACTCTGGCTGTGGCCCTCTCCTGCTGGGGTTTTGCCTGAGCTGCCATCTATTCAGTTCCCTCTTAGTTCTTGCTCTCTTTTCACGGTGCGGTGGTGTGTGCTGGATCCAGATTATTTCGCGTCCTCGTACGTTCTGGATCCATCAGTATGAGGTCCTGTCGTTCCGGAAGAGTATAATTATGCTTGGTGCTTGGCGATTAATTTCATACGGTGAAAGGGGGTTTAGTCGCACGGGTGGGTGAGTGGATGGGCGGGGGACTTTTTGCATGTGAGACATGTGTGCACACTTAAAGAAATGTTTGCCTGTGACGTATGCTGTACTGCATGCATGCATGACGAATCCGTCCTGTGTTTGTAAGTCCGCCGCCACGAATGGAAGGAAAGCAGCACTTATTGATATCGTTAAGAAAAAGTTGTTGGAGACGAACGGGCTGGCGGGCTGGCTGGGGGTCCTAGGAAATATCGTTCCGCGCCTTGCGTCTCTCGCATTATGACTGAAACCGTTCATAACAATGTTATCGGCGGCAGGGATTTTGGCAGTCAAAATGGTATACGCCCGGAGAAAGCCATAAAATTATCTTTGTATTATAGCTTTCTCGTCCGGCCGATAAGAAAGTGGATTGTGCTTGCGATGCACGCCATGCTGGGTCCTGTTTTACTGCGACAGATGGCGATGGCTGCAACATCCGGATGGTCCATCAAAAAAGTTGTGGCTCTGGCTTAATGACATCGCTTTCGGTGTCGGTGGTGGTTTGAAAGCAGTGATGGCGCCCGGTGACGCTTTGTAAGATATGTCGTCAACGCAGCTGGTCAGGGGGGAGAAACATTACACAGGCATCTGCACGTGCTCTAAACCGTCACACGCACCCATCCGCACCATCCACACAATGCTCACACCCATGCATCCTGGGCACCCCGAAGGTTGAGGGCACTCTCTTGCAAAAATAGATAAAGGACCCGACAACCGAAATCCAAAACATACATATATATACGTATGTATACACACAATATATATGTTACATGGTTGGGGGTGCGTGACCCCATACCTGTAAAACTACCCATACGAGCCGAAGGCCCAAGGAAAACATATATAACATCCGACGTATGAAGACGCCAGTTCGAAGCCCGTGAACTGGCAATTTGCGGGAGCCTCCTCACAGCTTGAGCCCTACGGTGTCATTCCCGAGTCCGCTCCGAAACACCAGAAACTGGACCGGTACGGTTTCCACCGTTGGCGATAGGCCCCCGGCCATCTCGTTGTCCAGCTTCGAAACCTATTGTCGTAAGCCGTCGTACAGGCACATGTCGGGCCGCCGCCGTGTCCGGCGGAATGGGCCGGGGTCGGAGCGTTTCGCGCAGGTTAGAAAAATTGGGAAGACGAAAGAGAGAAAAAGAGAGAGGGAGGCAGAGCACAGTTTGTACAACTATACAATTCAAGTTTGGGCCTGGCTGCTTAGATTGCAGAGACTGGGCCAGGGACAGACATACATTCGTACTCACACATAATTGTACAGCAACGTGGGTGAAAGCCTGGATTCCGCAAAGCAGTAGCACCAGCAGCAGCAGTAGCAAGTTACAAGTTACAAGTTCCGCACACAAGTGCGGGTGTGTCCGTAAAAGCCGGGGGGGCCATGGACGTTGTATTGGTATTGATGCGGGTACGCGGGAGGTCATCAAAGCAGCAGTAGCAGCAGCAGTAGCATACACACACATCACATGCGTGCGCCGCTTCCACACTCAACTTCCCATCCCTCGTCCTCCTTCCCGTCCGTAAACCACCGCCGACCCCCCGACCCCCCGACCCCTTGACCCATTGCTCGTTTGCAAGTTGCCTAACCCCGGTCCCCGGCCCGGCCCCGCGCCCCGGCCCCCGCCCCGGGCCCACCTCGCAGCGCTGCAGACTGCACTCTTCCACAGACAGCCGCAGCGGACCCGAACGGACCTCCTGAAGGAAGCGTTCTCGGTTGCGTACCTAGGAGGTGGTTGGGAGGATGGGGTTGGGGTTGGGTTGGGAGGAGGGAAATGGGAGAGCGTACGGAAAGTTCTTAGAAGAAAAGATCTAGTACAGCAAGAACCCGAGTCTTGCGGCATGTTCACCAAGGATCAGGTCCTTTGGTATTTTTTACCCTATTTTAATCCTTTTTTAATTAATTTAATCTTTTAATCTTTATTAATTGCCTTTAAAAAGGAGTTACACTGAACGCCCGTCACAGATCGCACCGTTCGGTTGGGGGGATCCGCTAGCAGTAGCCGGCCACCGTCGGGCCGCAGCAGTATCGGCATAAGGCCCGCAATGGGACCTACAGCGGCGTCCTCGTACAGCACGTCGCAAGCCAGTACGACATCGAATCGTCGCTGCCGTACAGCGGTTATTCGTCCCTGCTCACGTTGCGGCGAATGCTGCTGCTGCCGTTGTTGTTGTTGCGACGGCGTCGATGTCGACGCCGGCGGCAGTAGACGGTCCATCTCTGGCGGTGCTGTCCAGTCAAACACGTGAGCGCGTAACACACAGCTACTGCCGCTACCTCTACCACCATCTTCACCACAGCTACTGCCGGTCCAATCATCCCTGCTACTGCTGCTACTGCTGCTACTTGCGGGCGGTTCATCCGCGCCCACATCCGACACCGCTAGCGACGGCGATGGAGAGGAGGGCGTCCGCGAGGTTGACGAGGACGGCCCGTGCGGTGAAACTGACGTGGATGCAAACTCGCTTTCTCGAGCTGATGTAGCGGGCACCGCAGTAGAAGCAGCACCACTGCTGCTATCGGACTCGCGGCTACAGCCTTCCTCCCCTCTTAAAGCATGCGGTGGTGCTGACGGCGACGGCTCGACGGCGGGGGCGGCGGCGGCGGCGGCGGCGCAGCCCAATGACCCCGCCAGAGTCATGAGCACTCGCCACTCCTCCTCTGCCTCGCTCCTCCGCCTTCTCAGCGCCTGTTGATCGATTCGTTGTTGTGGATTATATCCGTCATCCCCCCCGTCATCCTGCTCTTGCATCAAGTGCTTGTACGGCGGTGTAAGCTGTAGCACCGCGTATGGCGACAGTTGGTCAGAAGGCAACGGCTCCACTTTCCTCCTGCCCTTCTTCCCCGTCCACCCTTTCCCCCCATTGGCTGTAGCTGTAGCTGTAGCAGTGCCTGCCGCTATGTTGGCTACGGTCCTGGAGCGGCCCAGCGATTCTGGATCCAGCAGATCTGCTCCATCGGATTCCAGATCCAGATTCAAGCCCGTGGCGGCGGCGCTGAGCAGGGCACATTGCAGCGCGGCGGGCTCTCTATCCAGCAACACCACCTCCTTCGCACCTATCAGTATCAACACACATGCACATACATTGGCCTTAATACATATACATATATATATGTGTGTGTGTATATACATATATACATACATATACATCATCAAAGGAAAGTAAACTGCACGGGAAACCATTTTAAAGTGTCTGAGGAAAGCTTGCACCCAGAGAAAACGTCCTGATTGAATGGTTTTTCTTGGAGCTTTCCTGTACCGTTCCAGGCGACCATCCGGGCTTACACAGCTGCTTTATACACTCCTCCACTCCGCCCACCCAACTACCCAGCTGCACAACACGAGCCCACACACCCCCACATTGTCCCTCTTCCACATCTCCTCCCTTTTCCCCATATCCACACTCCTCTATACACACACGCGCGCACACACACACACACACACACATACACGCACCCGCCAAGGCTGCCGCCATGCCCGCCAGCCCCAGGCCCGCTCCCAGGTCCGCCACCACCTTGCCCGCCACCAGCTCCGGCCGCTGAAGCAGCGTGGCAGCCAGGGCGATGGCGGAGGGCCAGGCCCGCGTCCAGTAGGGGTCCGCATCCAGCTGATCTGTGTGTGTGTGTGTGTGTGTGTGTGTGTGTGTGTGTGTGTGTGTGGCGGAGATGAGTCACAGGGTGTAGTGCAGTGTGTGTGGCAATAACGCAAAGGACAAGGACACCGGCAACACCAGGAGGGAGTGAGCTGAAGGGGGAAGTGAGCTGATGGGCGGGGAGATGAGCTGAGGGGGGGCCCCAACAGGGTGAGGAGGAGGAGCAAGAGGATCCAAAAAAGCGCTCGATAAGAAAGGATCAGCCGGACGAGTTCTGGAGGCTGAGGGGAGACGTACCCCTGCCGGGTGTGCACATGGACACACACAATGGGCTCACCCAGGGGCACACGGCACATGAAGCACAATACGCAGGGGGACTTACCCAACGTCGTCCCAACACACCCGGGTCCGAGTGCATGACATACACTGACTCCTCCTTTGCTCCCAACCCGAACGTTCCAGCGCGCGGGAGCTGCATGTTCGCGTCAGCACTGTTCCCTTCCGCCCATCCATCCATACCCTCCCCTAGGGGCGGCCCCTGGGCCCTCCAGAACCTTTCGATTGCCCCCTTTCCATTCCTTTCTTTTCCTTTCCTTTCCTAACCCCGTTTTTCTCTTCCGCAGCAACCAATACCCCTTGCTGCACATCAATGCGCTGAGGAAGGGGACCACTAAGGCCGCGACACGCCCCAAAACGTTCTTCGGTATATCAAAACGTTTTCACAAAGCGCAGTTGCGTCTCGCGGCGGGTTTTGAATGACCAATGACTCCCCGTCAGCATTTGTCTGGCAGCTTTTGCGTGGACGTCAGGCGGCAGTACTGGGTTTTCCCGCCGTGCCATTGCTGCGGATATTGCATCACCGTATAATAACCCCTCCCCCTTCTTCCCGGATCGCTCCCCCTCCCTCACTTTGCTCCAGGTACATGTCCATCACCGCGTCCACATCCCCCGGGGTAATCAGGCGGAAGGTGGCTCGGCCCACTTGCAGCCGCTGCTGGATGAGGTCCAGGGAGGGGCCCAGGCGGGCCCAGGGTACTGGGGTCCCCTCCAAGGGTGGAGAGGAGGTGGAGGAGCTGGAGGTGGGGGGGCGTGTGGAGGCAGTGGCAGCCGAGGCAGCGACGCTGTTTCTGTCGGTGGTGGCGGTAGCAGTGGTGGTGGTGGCGGTATTGCTCGGTGGCGTATTGCTGTAGCTGTTGCTACTGCTACTGTTGCGGGCATTGAAGAGATTAGCGGCTGAGGTGGTGGAGATGGAGGGTGTGGTGGATGGAGGCGCGAGCGCGGAGGTGGAGGCGGAGGCGGAGGGTGTGAGGGCGGAGGTGGCAGCTGGCGGAGCTCCGCTGGGGGTCACATCACGAGGTGCACGCACGGAAAAGTGGGATGGTGATCGCTTGGGTGTAGTTTGGTTTGGTTTGGGTTGGTTTGGTTTGGGTTGGGTTGGTCCGCCAGACAGTTGGGACCGAGGATAAAGCGATCCCAGCCAGAATGTAACATACGGATGTAACCCACTTTTTGTCCCCTCGTAAAGGCACGGATTTTTAGTGTAGGCGCCACCCTGGGCGGTTGCGTTTGTCTTCCGCCCCGTTACGGATTCTTGTCACCGCTTTCGTTGCACGCCCTAGGCGGTTTGCTCGAGTTTAACCCCACCTTGTAACATTTCGTTTCGTTACCTTACTGTTTCTAGCCGACCTAGTCTCAGCGATGCAGCGGCAGACGCCACAGCAGACGCGGCCAGCTTGGTAGCTGCTGTTGGCAAACCGTGTCCATTGGCGGCCGCGTGCGCAATCACGCAAGCGACAGAGCGTTGCGAAGTCCGATGTTGAGCCGAAGACAGGCTTTTCCATGTGGATGATGTGCTGCAAGTGGTGGACAGCTTTCCAAAAGGCCGGGAGTGGAACCGCACCCGCGACATTGGGCCGTACATGTGCAGTCCACGACTCACAGGGCCGTTTAACAGGTGGATGCGGGTTAGGTACGTTGATGCTCTAATTAGCGAAAGGGACGCGACTGGCTGTGACATTTGAAGCTGTGCTGGACCTTGCATTCTGCAGCAAAGGTCGGCGCCTCAGTTTTGGGTCAGAACTAGATGTCAGTAAGAATTGAAATTGTGAGCAATCGCAGGTGGTTGAAGCAGGTGATTCCCATAATGTTGCATGCATGAAGTGGGAGCTATGATTGAAAGCTTGCTAGGGAGCACCCAATAGAGCACGTTCCTCACCAGTATAACATATTAGAAGTCTGTTTTCAAATTATATCTTACAAAACACGGATGACCGAAGTCCGCTCGGTGCGATTGCGGTTAAATTCCAGGCGGTATTTGGACGAGAGAACCGAGACCACCCAATGTGAGGATTGACGCGAGCTGGTAGTCCCTATGCTTCCATGATATAGTTGTTGCAAAGTCATTGTACTTAGACACGGGATGGTGCCCAAGCCTTGGGATTATCTCATCGTTGCGCATTCTTGAAACCGGACCCAGCAAGGAAAGATAGTGAAGCAACAAACGCAACACCTCTTGCCACATCTATAATCCCGTTACTTGGCTGACAGCTTTCGGAACGAATTTCTGTATTTTTACGTCGCTTATCTTTCCCTTGCCAAACCGCCGAAGCATGCGCATTCTATCGGCCCAGCACCGCGGCTTTTGTGCCGTTGGCACTCAGCCCAAGCCCATGAACCATCTCCCAGCTACTACTATAACTCGGCGCGTGCATCCTCTGCTCCATCCGACCACGTTCTGCACGTACCTGTGGCCGCGTACACAACGCTACAGCCTCAGCTGCAACGCTCACGCCCTGCAGCCGTCGACGCCACCGACGCAGTCCGCGTCCGCCGCTCCGGGCCTTGCCCGAACAATCCTGGCCCAGCCCGGCATCGAGGGTGATCCGCTGGCGTTCTTGGAGGTGTCAGAAGCCTACTGGCGCGCACTCCGAAACCAAAAACACGATCCCGAGAGGAAGGGGCCTTCCGTCGTCACCCGCGCTGACGGTCCACTGCCGACTCCCCCTCGACCATCATCCCACCAGCAGCGACAACAACAACAACAACAGCAGCAGCAGCAGCAGCAGCACGCGGCTGCTGGTCTGCGGCAGCAGCAGCACGATTTCGATGTTGTTATATGCGGCGGAACCCTGGGGTTGTTCCTGGCAACGGCACTGCAGCTTCGTGGCTGGCGGGTGGCCATCGTAGAGAAGCGGCTGGTGCAGGTAGGTATGCGTGTGTGCGAGTGCTATAGGTTGTGTGTGTGTGGAGGAGGGAGGCGGGGAGAGTGAGGGGCTTGAGGGTGCGTGTGTGGTTGTGTGCGTGCGTGCGTGCGTGTGTGTGTGGGAGCGTGGGTGCAGGGAAGGTCAACTCGGAGGAGTGAATTTCGTTTTAAGTCCCCGCTTCCCCCTTACAGTGTGTTCGTGTTTTCCGTCTTCCCCCTCCTGCCCGCGTTTCGCAATTTACGACACGTGTGCTGCCGTCCTCCCCTAGCATAAAACCTTGGTTAACCCTTCCAACCTCCGGGTCCACACTCCCCCCTTTCCCCCGTGGTGTCGTGCCTTCCCCCTCCCACCCCACCCCACCCCACCCCACCCCACCCCACCCCAACGCACAAACCCCACAAACCCCACAAACCCCCCACCCCCCCACCCCCCCTGCCAGGGTCGCAACCAGGAGTGGAACATCAGCTGGGGCGAGCTGGAGGTGTGTGTATGTATGTATGTATGTATGACTGGATGGGTGGATGGATGTGCGTTTGAAATGTGCGTTGTAGGAATACCTGTGTATGTATAGCATGTATACGGACATGTGCCGAAGTGTGCTAAAGCTCTGTTGCCGTGTCCGTCTGCGTGTGTTTGTATTGCGTAGGACGTTAGTGGCTACATCCCTGCTACTGCTACTCCCTGGCTACATCCCTGCTACTGCTGCTACTGCTACTGCTACTGCTGCTGCTGCTGCTGCTACTTGGTTAGCTTCCCGTATGTTGGCGTTCCGAAGGGCGTCTGGACACGTCTAGAACTCAGTCGACGATTTGTTCAGAGGGCTCCAGAGTCCCGCGAGGGGATTCCCTTTGTTCACCCGTCAGCCCCCCCCCCCGCGCCTTCCCCCGTCCCGTGCCGTGCCGTCCCGACCCGTCAGGTGTTGGTGGAGTTGGGGTTGCTTAGTCGTACGGAGCTACGCGAAGCGGTGGTTTCGGAGTTCAACCCCATCCGGGTGGGCTTCCAGGGTGGCCAGGTGGGTTTTGGAGCTCCTCTGGGGGCGGGTGACATGTCGCTGTCAGGTGGGGGCCCAAAAGGCCACAACGGGCAAGTAAGTCGTATGTATGTATGTAGGTAGGTAGGTATGTACGTACGTAATGTATGTATGTATGTATGTATGTATGTATGTATGTATGTATGTATGTATGTATGTATGTATGTATGTATGTATGTATGTATGACGTTGATTACACTGTGGGCTGAAAAGCCGGGGGCCCAGGGCCGAAGCACAGCGCGGGGGGCGGGTGCATACGGCTGGTTAGTCTCATGCACTCCGCCCCCGGGTCAGGCCGCACGGGAAACGACGGCCGGCACGCAACAGCGCTTGTTTGGCGCTCCAACTAGACGGGATCTATGCCCGTTGGTCTCCTAACATAAACGAAGTCGCAACTGGGGGGCTCTTCCTGCCGACCGAACGAACCGAGCATCTCAGAGAGCTCGCTACCAGGACTTGGGCGACCGGGAGCCCGACGAGTCTTCCCGGGCTGGGGAGGTCACCAAGCTCAAAAATCCTCACGCAAAAAAGAGCGCAAAGAGCTCACACCACAAGACGCCAAACAGCCTCCTGAGACTACTACCCTCCTCCGCCTCTCCCTCCCTGGGCTAGTCCAGGGGAGATAGCCCCCGTCGAGGGGGTAACACCGCACAAGTCCGCGCCCTTCCACAGCACTGGGTCTAAATTGAAAAGTACTCAAACGGGAAGACCCTGCGGCAACGCAGGGCGATCAAGCCTCCGGAAACCACAGGGGGGGAGGGTAGCCAGCTCGGCGCCCCCCCAATACCGCTCTACCAAGACGGCTGGTT